TTACATCACCCATAACTGCTCAAACAAAACCTTCACCCCAAACTCCACCTTCCAATCCAATCTCAACTTCCTACTTCTCTCCTTTCACTCCAACTCCTACCTTACCACCGGCTTTTACAACGACACCACCGGCAGAAACTCAAGCTCAGACAACGACACTGTCTATGGCTTCTTCCTCTGTCACGGTGACGTGGCGCCCACAGACGTTTGCGAAAACTGTGTGGCCATGGCCAGTATGGATGCAATCCAACGCTGCCCAAACGGAAAAGGTATTGTGATATGGTACGATGAGTGCATGCTACGCTACTCCGACCAGCCATTCTTTTCCACCGCCGTTAACACACCTCACAACTTCCTCCGGTCGTCTACGGATGCAATGCAATGCAACCACCGGTCGGCTTTAACCAGGTTCTGGAAAGTACTATGAATCAGTCACCAAGGCAGCCGTGAATAATACTAATGGCACTGTTCTCAAGTACTTTGCCAATGAAGAAGGCCAAATAAAAGGGTTCAATAATGATACGCTGTACAGCCTTGGACAGTGCACGCCGGACCTGTCCAGTGCAGATTGCAAATGGTGTGAGGAAGCCGTATGACATATAGTTTCAAAAGAATGCCAATACCAAGGAGGACGTTTTCTATATCCCAGTTGTTATATTAGGTACCAACTCTCCCCCTTCTACGGCACTGCAATAGACGAGGTTTTCCCGCCTATCCTTGGATACGGTAAAACTACTGCATAATTAGGACATAAATGTTTGGTCAATCTTTGCAACTCACATTTCTTCTTTTCTTCTCGTCGAGTATAGAACAATAAACAAAAAGGTACTGTTGTTCGTTCATCATACAGATGTCACAATCCTTGTCGTCTTTGTTCTTGTTCTTGTCTGTGAGCTGCTTGTACCTTTGTGCTATTGCTTCATCCGCAGAAGAGCAACAGCGATGTACAATGCACTACCACAAGAAAAAGGTAAAAAATTGACTGCAATTATTCAAATGCAAGAGGTTATCTTAATTTCCTTCATTTTCATAGGTTTTCTAGTCGTTTACGTGCAACTCATTATTTATTTGTTTAGTTAGAAGTGATATAAACGACACTATTGAGTCATTGCAATTTGACTTGGGAACCATCAAAATCGCCACAAACAAGTTTTCCGACGATAACAAGTTAGGTCAAGGCGGATTTGGTGAGGTTTGCAAGGTATGTAATTAGCAATCAATCCATCTATATTTAGGGGATTAATCATTTAATCTTATACGTGTAAAGTCTCTCTAGTTCTACTTAAGGCACCGGGAAATGGATTGGATAAAATACCTTTGTATACATTCTCAGGGAATACTTGGTAATTAATGGACAAGAAATACCAGTTAAGAGATTCTCCAAAAACTCTGGGCAAGGTGTAGAAGAATTCAAAAATGAGGTTATATTGGTTGCCAAGCTTCAACACAGAAATCTCGTCAGGCTTCTTGGATTTTGTTTGGAAGGAAAAGAAACTATACTTGTTTATGAATATGTGTCCAACAAAAATCTAGATTATTTTCTATTTGGTATGTCATGTGATGATGAAGTCACTTTATTAATTGTCAACAATATTAATGTAATTCTTTTTAACATCCAACTTTAATGTGGCATTCCTTGTGTTTGGTGAACGAGATCGTAGAACCCAACAAACGAAAGCAACTGGATTGGTCAAGACGTACGGTGCACGATAATTGAAGGAATTGCTCGAGGAATTCTATATCTTCATGAAGAGTCAAGGCTTAGAATTATACATTGTGATTTGAAAGCTATAGTAATATCCTATTAGATGGCGATATGAATCCAAAAATATATCAGATTTTGGAATGGCAAAAATGTTTGGAATTGATCAAACTCAAGGAAACACAAGAAGAATTGTCGGCACTTAGTAAGTTAATTTTCAACTTATGCTTCCCCATTATATGATATAATTCATTGATCACACTCATGATATGTGGTTGGGTATGCAAGTGGTTACATGGCTCCAGAATACGCCATGGAAGGATTATACTCCATAAAGTCGGATGTCTTTAGCTTCGGAATACTCTTGCTTGAAATCCTAACGGGGAGAAGAAACTTTTTGGGCTTTCATCTCACAAATTGTGCACCTACTCTTATAGCACATGTAAGATTTTATGTTACTAATTACGTCAGGGTATTTTAATTATACAACATTTTGTCCAACTAAGATCAAAGAGACAGTACTTACATCCGTGAAAGGTATTTATTCCAGGTTTGGCAATTATGGAATGAAGGGAAAGGGTTGGAGTTGATGGATCCATTGTTGAAAGATTCATGTAGTCCAAATGAATTTGTAAGATACATCCATATTGGGTTATTGTGTGTTAAAGAAGGTGCAAACGACAGGCCAAACATGTCATCAGTTGTTCTAGCGTTGAAAGGTGAAACTCGTAGTCTTTCCAGACCAGAGCGACCAGCCTTCTTTACAGGAAGAACTACTAATCACCGTGATCAAGTAGAAGCTGATCATAATTGTTCTGCCATGGTTTGACGATTTCCAGCGATGTGCCCCGTTGAGACAGATGACATAATCTTTACAGCTTTTGTTTCACCAATGACAAAAAAGAAAAAAAAAAGAAAAAAGAAAAAAGAAGAGGTATGAGTCAAATGCAAAGGTTGTCAAAGAACTCGAGACAAGGTGTACGAGAATTAATGTTGTCTTTGTTTGCCAAGCTTCAACATGGAGTTCTTCTCAGACTCGTAGGATGTTGTATTGGTTTGCAGCTGGTAGTTTTCTCCTTGCTTTCTCTGTTTTCTTTCTTCGAAGGTCCTGCCTGGCTGATTGTGGACTTCCTCTGTTGTCTCTTTCTCTTTGTTTTCTCGTGGGCTCTGCCGGTTTTCATTGAAAACAACCTTTCTGACCGAAAGAAAAAAGAAAAAGCTAGCGTAAATTATTTCTCGTTTGCCATGAGGTTAATTCGGCCGAGAAATAACTAATCATAGAGTGAGCATGGTAAACTTGTGAATGCGTGTATTCACCCTACCCTAGCTGTCATTTCTTTGTATAAATTGCTGTGGAAAAGCATGTAGTAAGAGTTGCCCAAGTCAAACTTGGCTGGCATGCACGTTTTTACTTTGTAGGTCCCTTCCTTTGCATGAGTTCCTCATATGAATCACAACACGCTTGAGAGTCTAGGGTCAACGACCAGGGTGATCCTCCAAGTCCAAGTCAAGCTTGCAATTTTCAACCATTTGAACTTAACCATATAACTTACGTGCTACATAATCCTAATTAAGAAGAGCAAGGGCCGGGGATGATGATTAATAATTTAATATATCAGTTTGCTTGCTGCTCAGCTTCATCACCAGTACTGAAGCAGTTTCGTTACATCGTCCATAGCTGCCCAAACACAACCACTTTCACCCCCGCCCAAGTGTGGGAATCCGACCCCGACTGCAGGAAGAAGCAAGCAGTCATCCATTAATATCATTGTCGGCGTCGCTGCTCTTCTAGTGATCTCTGTGGTCCTTGTAGCTTTGGGCTACTGCTTTCTACACAGGAGAGCAAGAAACAAGTACGATGCGGCCCTAAGAAAAGAAAATGATAGAAGTAGATATATTTAGAATTAAAATTTTGGGATATACTTTCATGTCTCTGCCATATACCTTTTTGCGAAACTCTCATTATTTGCCTTTTTTCTTATGCAAAAGATATGAAGACTGTTGAATCCTTGCAATATGCTATGGAGGGACTGTATTTCTTAAAATCTGATGTCTTCTGTTTCGGAGTGCTTTTGCTTGAGATCATAACAGGAAGAAGGAACTTTTTAGGCTTTCATCCCACAAAATGTGCACCTACGTACTCTTATAGGCTATGTAAGGTTAAATCATACAAAAGTTTCTCAAACTAATACATGTAGCTATCTCAATGTTAGATATACATACATGCTTAAAATGTAATAATTGCAGGCTTGGCAATTATGGAACGAAACGAAAGTGTTGGAGTTGATGGATCCGTTGTTGAAAGAGTCCGAATGAGTTTTTGCGATACATCCATATTGGATTATATTGTTCTAATGTTCCCCGTCGAGTCAGATGACAATTTTAATCTTTGCATTATGAAGTTGGAGTTGGCCTTTGATAAAATGCTAATTTGTGGGCAATTAAAATTAAACCCACGTTTCAATCCTCCATTAAATTTCGTTAAACATTGTATTAATATGGCCTCTTCTCCTCCTATATTATATTGTTTGTTTTTTTTATTTTCAGAATCGATCGAGATACATGAGTAATTGTTCTTAATCATTTGAATTATAATCGTTTACTATTATATTGTTTGATAAATTAAGTCCATCAATGTGATGCGTTCTTGTGGAACCTTCTGATGAACTGGGTGGAGAAATAAATAATCCCTTTGGGCACTTCCGTCTCCATCGTCTTATGTTTGATAATATTTTTATTTTATATAGTTTGTTTTGTCATTTCATCTCCTTCCTTTTCTTCAACGAATTTGAGTAAGATGGTTTCATGGCGACAGACAGTTGAAGTGAGATATGCCCGTCAACACACGGAAACATTAAAACTAGTTTCACTTTAGAGTCCTGCTGTGACTTTTCTTTTGTGAATTTATTCACGAAACCCATTTCGATTTGGTAAAACTTTCTTCTTGTAATATTCTTGCAAATAATAATAATAATAATCAATATCAATATGATAATGACAAGAGATATTTAGTCAAATATCTATTCTTATTAGTAAAACTATAAATAAACCATACATAATTTAGTTTCTATAAACAAACTAAAAAAAAACCCAAAATTTGACAATTGGCCCTATTGAATTTAATTTTGATTATTAAATTACTTTGATGCCCTATTGAGTGTTTTGGGCTTTTTTATGAGGTTTTGGGGTTGTGTTTGTTTTAAGAAATTAATGGTAATTTTGTAATTTAAAAGAAGTTAAAAGCATTTTTATTATATTGCAAATGAGCTTTGGGTATAACAGTGAACCTCCCTGAGACAACCGCCACTGCCCTCTCTATCCTTCCCACTCCCGCCTCCCATTTTCCTCTGTTTCAAACTTTTGTTTTTTTGTCTTTTATTTCATTGTCTCTTCTTCCTCTTCTATTTCTATGAATCTGATGATAAAGACAACCACCACTGAGATAATATATCTTTCAAGTTCAACTTGGCTTGAGAAATAAACAGGGAGGGACTAGCTAGCTTAATTAGCTAAGCATAGGGGATGGCCTGGGCTGGCTTCATCAAGATCAAAATGCTTCCCATGACTAATCTCATGCTTGTTTCCATTCTCTCCTCCATATTTGTTGTTACTCTGCTTAGCTTTCCCAGCCCAGCTGAAGCTGATTATCTATACCATGTCTGCCCAAACACTACCACTTTCACCCTGAACTCCACCTTCCAGTCCAACCTCAACCGCCTCCTCTCCACCCTCTCCTCCAACGCCACCCGCCCCTCCGGCTTCTACAACGCCACCACCTCCTCCCGAACCCCAAACGACCCCATCTACGGCCTCTTCCTCTGCAGCGGCGATGTAGGATTTGCCGAACCCTAAACGACGCCGTCTACGGCCTCTTCCTCTGCCGCGGCGACGTCGCCTCCACGGACGCTTGCAAATCCTGCGTCTCCACGGCAACCTCCAACGCCGTCCAGCGCTGCCCCACCGAGAAACAGGTCGTGATCTGGTACGACGACTGCATGCTACGCTACTCCAACGAGTCCTTCTTTTCCACCATGGCCGAGACACCTCGCCTGTTCATGTGGAACACCCAGAACGCCACCGAACAGACCCGCTTCAACCAGGTCCTGTCCACCCGTATGAACGAGGTGGCCACCGAGGCTGCCAACGACACCGACAAGTTTGCGACGAGTCAGGGGAATGTTAGTGGGTTGGTTTCGATTTACAGCCTGGGGCAGTGCACGCAGGACCTGTCCTCAGCGGATTGCAACCGGTGTCTCAGGGGTGCCATAGCCCAATTTCCGAATTGTTGCAGTGGAAAGGAAGGGGCACGAGTGTTGTATCCGAGTTGTACCGTTAGGTACGAAGTCTACCCTTTCTACCAACAGAACTCCACGTCATCACCTCAGCCTTCACCGGGGGCTCTACCTCCTCCTCTGCCGCCTAAAGGTAAAGTGAAGTGACCAGCTTTTCAATTCAAATTATGTCTTAAAATAGTTGGGGGGGAATAGGTATCTATGCTAACTATGGTGAACTTTGGATTGGAACAGGAGAATATGGTTTTGGGATTTGGCTGTTCGTTTTACTAATTTCTTCATATTTAGTTTTATGTATAGTGTAGATTCTTATTGTTTATTATGCAGGAAAAAGCAAAATCCCTACAATTGTTGCCATTGTTGTCCCAATTGCGGTCTCTATGCTACTTTTTGTTGTGGGCTGCTGTTTCATTACTAGGAGAGCAAGAAAGAAGCGCAGTGCAGCAGCGGAGGCACCAAGCGGTAAAGAATATATATCTGAAATGAATTCTAGTTTGTCATACAAATCAGAAGCATACTTTTGTTTCCTCATCTTTATACATGAATGCTTTTCTTGTTTGTTTGTGTAGGTGAGAATGACATTAGTACTATAGAGTCTTTGCAATTTGATTTTAGTACCATTGTAGCGGCCACGAACAATTTCTCTGATGATAATAAGTTAGGGGAAGGTGGATTTGGTCAAGTTTACAAGGTATGTATGTATATCAACGTTTCTGCATCGGAAAATCTAAAGTCTTAATATTTTGAGAAACTAAGGAGGTTTTAATCAGTACTGGGAATTGTAAAAGTTGTGCAAGAATGTACATTCCATCGATTGATTGATTGAAGGTTGTTCTCAGGGTATACTTTCAAATGGTCAAGAAGTAGCTGTGAAAAGGCTTTCAAGGAACTCTGGCCAAGGTGCAGAGGAATTTAAGAACGAGATGGTATTGGTAGCCAAGCTTCAACACAGAAATTTGGTCAGGCTATATGGATTTTGCTTGGAAGGAGAAGAAAAGATACTTGTTTATGAATATGTCTCCAACAAAAGCCTTGACTATTTTCTATTTGGTTTGTGCCCTGAAACATCTGATAGTCTTTTCTCCTGCAAAAACAATGTTACTTCAACATGTATTTGAATCTGTTTCCTTGATGATAACTTGATTGCTCAATTTTGATGATTTGCAGACCCTGAGAAACAAGGACAATTGGATTGGTCAAGACGTTACAAGATTATTGCAGGGATTGCTCGAGGAATAATGTATCTACACGAAGATTCCCGACTTAGAATTATACATCGTGATCTCAAGGCCAGCAATATATTGTTAGATGGGGAGATGCATCCAAAAATATCTGATTTTGGCATGGCCAGGATTTTTGGGGTTGATCAAACTCAAGCAAACACAAGTAGAATTGTTGGAACATAGTAAGTTCTCTCATTCATCTTTTCTTTTCTCATGACCACTTTTGTTCTGCATTATCTGGATTGATGAATTTGAGAAATGTTCCCATCTGCACTCAACAGAAAGTCCACTTTGACCCTTGATAATATCTGTATGAACTCAGACAGGGATGATGTAATTTTTGAATCATAGTTCATGCTCTATAAATAATGAAAGCCACTTAGTGTTGCACGAAATTGAATGGATTAAATTATTGACATGAATATGATAAGTTTACTCCTTAAATTTTGTTACAATTTCTATACTGATGGATGGTTGTGCTTCTTGCAGTGGCTATATGTCTCCAGAGTATGCAATGCATGGACAGTTTTCTGTCAAGTCCGATCTATATAGTTTCGGTGTTTTACTGCTAGAAATCATAAGTGGCAAGAAGAATAGTTATTTCTTTCAAACTGACGCAGCTGAAGACCTCGTGAGCCATGTAAGCTTAAACTGAAAACAACGTAGTTTTGTTCTTCTGCACTAACACCACCACAACATAAATAAAACTGTTCAATTTATGCAGGCTTGGAAACTATGGAGAGATGGGACGCCTTTGGAATTGTTGGATCCGAGTATGAGAGATTCTTATTCCAGGAGTGAAGTTATAAGGTGTGTGCATATCGGGTTACTTTGTGTTCAGGAAGATCCAGCGGACAGACCTACAATGAAATCCGTAGTTCTCATGCTTAATAGCTATTCTGTGACTCTGCCATTACCTGAACAGCCAGCATTTTTCCTTCGAAGTCGAACGGAGGGGAACATGCCAAAGATAACTTTGGAGTCTGATCTATCTATCAGTAAGTCAACTCCATCCGTTGATGAAGGATCTATCACTGCAGTATACCCTAGATAGCGTGAATGAACAAGATGTTATATCTTGTATTATCTGTTTATATTTGCAATCACAAATATGAAACTTGTACTCTTGGTTTCATACGACTGTTGTTAGGATTGAAAACATCAAATGGTATTTCTGTCATGTGAGTTACAGTATCTTTGATTTTGATTTTTGAGCATAGATTTATCATCCACATAACGTGATTGACAAGGTTTTAAGTCTTCACATCTGTATCTTGGAAAGATCTCTCCTTTGTGGGTCTGGGTTGAATCTTCTGCAGTTTCGTGACGTCAATACCTAATAAATTTACAACCGGCTTAATTAGGTTGTTGTTGTGCTTGTGGTCATATCACTCTCTTGTATTGATGAGAGTTATGGATGGATAGGATACCATCTTCTTTTCTGGTCATCTTCGTCTCCACTTGGTTGGTTGTATAAAACCGTACTCTTGTATTATTGCAGACTAAAAGTCTCAAAACCCTCTGTAGGTGTAAATATTGAAAAACTGAGGAAAAAGAAAAGGCAAGAAACGCAGTTGGGCTGAAAATTCTACCCAAGTCTCGACCCCCTTGGTTGGCTGTCAGCTTAGAGGACCGCTAACTTAAAACACTCCTGTCAATTTATAATTACATCACACTGATGATGAAGCCGACACCTCTAAAAATTATGACTTGTAGATAAGCTTTTTAATTTCCACATGATTCAACTCTAAGGGACATAATAAATTAGCTTTAGAAATAGAAACAGGGACTGGGCTGATCAGTGATCAAAAGATCATGAAAACCAAAATGTCTTCCGTGCATAATCTGATGCTTGTTTCCATTCTCTCCTCCATATTTGTTGTTACTCTGCTCAGCTTTCCCAGCCCAGCTGAAGCTGTTTATCTATACCATATCTGCCCAAACACTACCACTTTCACCCCAAACTCCACCTTCCAGTCCAACCTCAACCGCCTCCTCTCCACCCTCTCCTCCAACGCCACCCGTCCCTCCGGCTTCTACAACGCCACCGCCTCCTCCTCCTCCTCCGCCCCAAACGACACCGTCTACGGCCTCTTCCTCTGCCGCGGCGATGTCGCTGCCACCGACGCTTGCAAAACCTGCGTCTCCACCGCAACCTCCGAGGCCGTCCAGCGCTGCCCCACCGAGAAACAGGTTGTCATCTGGTACGACGACTGCATGCTGCGCTATTCCAACGAGTCCTTCTTTTCCACCGCCGCCGAGTTGCCTGGCTATTTCATGTGGAACAGCTACTCCAACGAGTCCTTCTTCTCCACTGCCGCCGAGTCACCTCGCCTGTTCATGTGGAACACGCAGAATGTAAGTGGTTATGTAACGGACCAAAACCGCTTCACCCAGGTGCTGGCAGCGAGTGCAAGTGAGCTAATCGCTGAGGCTTCTAAAAACAATCGCAAGTTTGCGACGAAAGAAGCGAAGGTTTCAAAGGTCATTACGCTGTACGTGCTTGGGCAGTGCACGCAGGACCTCTCCTCTGGAGATTGCAATTGGTGTCTTCTAGGAGCCATGACACAAGTTCCTAGAAGACATGTCGGGGGACGATTTCTGTCTGATTTGAAGTCTATCCCTTCTACCTCCACAACTCCACCGCAGCATCGCCGTCTCCACGAGATCGTGCTGTTTCTCCTCCTTCGACAGGATCCGTCGGACCCAGGCCTAAAGGTAAAGTGCCTCCCACTATCTAGGCGCCAAAAGATATCAAATGTATTAAGAATCAGCTTGATTAATTTAATAACAATTTCTACCATCCAACTTCTAATTGATTCTCATCTCACTATAAATTAAAGGCTAGTTTTGAATTTTGGCTTGTAAAAAAATAATCTTAATTTGATGATCTAATTATTTCAACCAGTGGAGATTAATAATAGTTCCAACCTTTCAATTCTAATCACGAGAAAATTGCAAAGGGTTGGAATTTTAATTTCACCAAAAGTTAGAGTTTACCAAAAAAAGAGAGTAAAATTGTTCATACAGGAGGAAGAAGCAGACTTTCACCTTCCATATTCATTGGTGGCAGCATTGCTGTCTCTGTGGTACTTGTTGCTTCGGGCTACTTCTTCGTACGCAGAAGATCAATAAGAAAGAAGTACAAAACTGCCCCAAATCAAGAAAACGGTAAAATCTAGATAACCTCGTTATTCTGTTACCAAGTAGGAATGACTTTCGAGTTCTTTTCATGTAATATATGGATAACCTCATTATTTGCTTGCTTAGGTAGGAATGACTATGATACAAAGAGTGTTGAGTCCTTACAATTTGACTTGGGAACTATTGAAACTGCCACAAACAAGTTTTCTGAGAATAACAAGTTAGGTGAAGGCGGATTTGGTGTAGTTTTCAAGGTACGAAGAAATGAATTTATTTCCTCACTTTGCCTTTGAAATTATTGATGCTTATTTATTAATATACAGTGCTGATTAATGCTAATTAGTTCAATTTGTACAACTCTAAACTTTAGATGACAATACTTTGCTAGGGAACACTTGCTAATGGACATGAAATAGCAGTGAAGAGGTTGTCAAAGAGCTCCAAACAAGGTGTACAAGAATTTAAGAATGAGGTTGCATTGGTAGCCAAACTTCAGCACAGAAATCTTGTCAGGCTTCTGGGATTTTGTTTGGAAGGAGAAGAAGCCATACTTGTCTATGAATATGTGCCAAACAAAAGTCTTGACTATTTTCTTTTTGGTACAAGTACATATACATCATTTTGAAAACCCTTTGCAATTTCTAACTTGAGTACAATAATCGAACTTTTATTTACTTGTGAGTGCAGAATCCAAAAAACGAGAACAGCTAGATTGGTCGAGCCGTTGCATGATAACAGGATCGCTGGAGGAATTCTATATCTTCATGAAGATTCAAGGCTTAGAGTTATACATCGTGACTTGAAAGCGAGCAATATCTTGTTAGATGGCAAGATGAATCCAAAAATATCAGATTTTGGCATGGCAAGAATGTTTGGAGTTGAAGATCAAACTCAAGGAAACACCAAAAGAATTGTTGGCACCTAGTAAGTTCCTTCATCTATCTAATTAATAATCTTAAATCTATATTTCGGCTTTAACCCACATGTCAATTATTTTGGCCTTGTAATTAGCGGTTACATGGCTCCAGAATATGCTATGGAGGGATTGTATTCGGCAAAATCGGATGTCTTTAGCTTCGGAGTACTTTTTCTTGAGATCATAATGGGGAGAAGGAACTTTTTAGGCTTTCATGCATCCAACAAATCATGCACCTACTCTTATAGGCTATGTAAGGTCTTTATTTGGGTTAAACTATACAAAAAGTTTCTCAAAAACTAATCAATGTAGCTATCAATTTAAGAGTAGTACTTACATCTTTGAAGAGTATTAATTGCAGGCTTGGCAGTTATGGACCGAAACGAAAGGGTTGGAGTTGATGGATCCATTGTTGAAGGACTCATGCAGTCCAAATGAATTTTTGAGAAACATTCATATTGGATTATTGTGTGTTCAAGAAGATGCAAACAAGAGGCCAACTATGTCATCGGTTGTTCTAATGTTAAAAAGTGAAACCATTAGTCTATCCAGACCTGAGAAACCAGCCTTCTTTACAGGAAGATCTACTGATCACCATGATCAAGAAAACGCTCATCATTGCTCAGCCAATGGTTTGACGATTTTTAATGACTTGCCCCGTTGAGGAAGATGACAATCATTAAGTAAAGATCATTGTATTCCATTAATTAAAGGCTTATGTTGCACACAGAGACTCAGACGATGCTGTAAGCTTTATATATTTTGTTTAACACATGTCATTTTATTGAGAAAATGTTAATTATGCACTCGCCCTAAATCTAATTTCAATCACGCTGAGATCAACTAGTTTCTTAGGGGGGTTGTATCCAATTCATACTTATAGAGACTCTTTTTAAGTGAGTGACTTTTATAGAGTTGACAAATTCTTAAATACTTTAATAGAGTTAATAAAAGTCACTAGTAAATTGGCAAGACTTTTGCTTTTAACAATTAGCCTTGAAAGTATGGAAAAGTCATTCATTTAATAAGCTTTTTAAAAGTCATTAACTTTTTGGATACCACCAAACTTTTAAATACTTTTTAAAAGTCACAATTGAATACCACTAGACTTTTATATACTCTTTAAAAGTCTAAATTGAATACCTCCGGACTTAGTACTTAATACGTTTCCTTAGGAGTTGAATTATTGCTATCCAGTTTGTGATCTAACCACTCCAATTGGTGCATATCACTCTAAAGTATCTGGAAAATTTATCATAAATTCGCATCAAGTCTGCAGATTAACATGAATGGATACCTAACCAAATTGGGATAATTATATATATCAGCTATATAGGCCTTCCCGCTTCAGAAAAATTATGCTTATTTGCTGACATGAGCAAAAAGTGACACTATGAAGTTGTCCTGTGATAAAATAAAATGGTAGAAAAGATTACATTTCTTTTCTGGGTATAGGTAGGTGTGGCTGGGATTACTTCGATTTTTTAGCAACGAGTTATCATCCTACGGCATAGCAGTCCCATGAATTAGGATCAGGTGAAAATCAAAGAGAAACCTTTTCCACATAACGTAATTGACAAGGTTTAAGTCTTCACACCAATGTCTTGAAAAAGGTTTTCTCATTTGTGGGTCTGGGTTGAATCTTCTTCATGGGTTTGTTTGTGGTTACCCACTCCCTTTAAATTCTGACTCCCTTTTGTTTGTGGTTACCCACTCCCTTTTAATTATCCTGTATTGATGACTGGAGTTATGGATGTATCTCTTTTTTTCCTGGTCATCTTCGTCTCTACGTACGAGATGGTATGTAAAATGAAATACGTACAATTTGTGGAACATTCTTAATAATGACGGCCACCATTGCTACGGTGACATGAGGTGGTGGCAGGAAGGAAATGGGGTCAGCTCAACTCATCTTGTTATATGAATCAGTCAATGTGTGAGTGTAATATAACAACGACTCTTGCCATATTCTCGGTCAGTTGTATAAAACCATACTCTTCTATTAGTATCAAGATGTAAAATATTGGAAAATTATTGAGTAAAAAGAAAAGGCAAGAACACAGTTGGGCTGAATTCTACCCCTTCCGTCTCCAATTCATCAATGACTTTTCAATAACTTTACTTTCCA